GAGTCCCTTCTCCTGAACATACGGCTCTGCCCCACTTGGGCCCCCCTGCTTCCGGGTGGCCCCGCCCCGGTCCTATCCCCTGGTTTCCAGCCCCCTCCCCGCACCTGCCTCCCCAAAGTCCCCGCGCGCCTGTGACCAAAGCCACCCAGGGTGGTGGCAGAGTTCTTACACAACACAACACCAGAACCGGGGAAGGCCAGCCTGCTCCTGGCCACACAGGCGAGACCGACAGGCTCCCGGGGGATGGACACACGGCCCTGGACGACACGTGGGTGAGGGCTGCTGGCGCTCACTGCACCCCTTCGCACCCCCACACTGCGCTGGACGGCAGGGGAGGGGGTGACACCGAACTGGCTCCGGTTGTGACCATGTGGTGGGTGACATCGGCTGCACTGGCCAGTGTGGGCTTCATCCCTGCACCCCCTTGTCCCCTGGGCCCTGGGCTGGGCCTTCCCTGTCCACGCCCGCCCTGGCTGAGCCACGCGATGGGGAAGCAGGAACCCACCCCAGGCTCAGGGCCCCGCCCCGGGCGGGTGGGGCCAGGAGAGGCCTGGACCTGGGCCTCCCCTGCCCCCGAAGGTGCAGGGGCTGGGATGGGCTCCCCAAGCTGCAGGGGGCCTGGAGTGGGGGTGCCACTGGAAAGAGGTGGTGGCAGGAGGAGGGGTGGGCAGACTAGTGGCTAAAACTCTCTGCCCCACGGATGCCCCAGCGCCGGGAACAGCCCTCACCCTGACCACCTGGCGGTGGGGCCCAAACTGACTAACACACTTCCTCTACCGCCAGGAGAACCGGGCTCAGCGTGGTGTCCCCGTGGGTGTAGCCACACTAGGGGACGGTCTGCTTCCTGCCCCAGCATGGAGAGCTGAGCCGCGCCAGCTGCAGGGAAGGGCCCCCCCCCCCCCAGCACCTGCCAGGTCCAGGGCCCGCTGGGCAAGGCCGGGGGTTACCTGTCGCTCCCGTTCCAGGCGCATTCAAACTTGTCGAAAATGCAGTCGTTCTCATACAGGGAACAGAGCTTGCTCCGCAGGTAATCATGGACCTGGCGCGAGAAGGGGGCCAGGTGAGGCGGGGGTCCCTGGCAGTCCCGGCTCCTCCAGGGAGGGTCTCCCTGAGCAGCGAGGGGCTGTGCCCTCCGGTCTGAGGTCACTCCCGAGTCAGCCCTGCTCACTGGGAAGGGCCCACGGCCGGGCACGGCCAACCCCTGAGCGGTGGCCAGAGGGGACAGGCACAGTGACAAAGGAGCCCGAGCCCTGGCTCTGCCCTCCCCCGCTGTGTGATCCCAGACCAGCGGCTTCGCCTCTCTGAGCCCTGCCTCCATCATCCTTAAAGCGGCCACAGCACATCCCTCATGGGCTGTTCTGGGACCAACCGGAGGACCCCGCCTGGCATGGGGTCGCGCCCTCTGAGGACAACAGTCACGTGGGCACGGTGGTGACCGTCACGGAGAAAGGGAAAGGTGACCCGCCCTGCTCCAAGCACCGACCCCAGCTCACGGCCGATGCCTCCTCCTGCTCTCCCCGCACCTGCCCACCCCCACCCTGGCCATCTCCCCAGGCAGCCAGGGGGATCCCTTTGAAACTAAGCTGGGCCATGTCAGACCTCTGCTCAAAACCCTCCACTCCCCACAAGGCCCCTGGGCTCCACTCACCACCTCTCTGACCTCAGGCTCCCCTTTGCTCGCTCTGTTCCAGCCAGCTCCTGGACAATCTGTGACCATACTGACCGTGTCCCTGTTCAGGGCCTTTGCACCTGCTGTCCCTCCTCTGGGACCCCCTGCTCATGCCTGACTTCCCTCGGGCTTCAGCACCCCACAAGCCCACGTGGCTAACAGCCAGCCATGGTGCCACAGGAGCTGCGATGGTCCTTGCAGGAATCCATCCAGGAAAGGAGCAGAAGCTGAGGGAAGGGGTGATGGACCAGAAACACACCGATGTCCTTGTGGACATGTGGCTTCTAGCACCATCCTGTCCTCTCCTCTCAACTTCATGCCCCCCCTGCCCCAGGACACTTCCCTCCCCCAGGCCTTTCCAGGGAGGGCAGACAGGGCAAGGAGGTGCAGGGCACAGATGTGGGCTCTGACTCTATCGCTGCCCAGCGGTGAGCAGTGCCCACATATCCTGACCTCTCAGAACCCCCTCTTCCCCTCTGCCAAAGGGGGCTGATGGCACCCCCTTTCCAGGGACAGTAAGGAAGAGAGGTGACAGATGTCGAGGGTGTGGGACCCCCTGTGCACCTTGGACCACTGTGAGGCTTTGGCGGGGCTGCTTGGGGTGTGTGGAGGGTGTTATCCTATTCACACCTGCATAATCAAATCCTACCATCGTATGAGGTCCAGCCCAATGCCACCTCCTCCAGGAAGCCTCCCTGATCTCCCAGCTAAAGACATAACTGGAAACCACTTTGAAGCAATTTTATCGCAGTCCCATATTTCTTTCAGGTCCCTGTTTTATTTTACCATCCCCTGAATTTTTTTCCCTACTCTTTAATCTATCCGGATGAATCCTAACAGAAAAATACTGAATATAGACTTTCGAAAAGGTGCCTTAAAAGGCCTGTGCCCAGGACTGAGGAAGGTAACACACTCCCATCTCCCCACCGCGCGCCCCAGGGACGCTCCCTGGAGAGGGCAAAGCTTGCCATCTTAACGCAGAACTGTAGGCGCGGCCTCCCCGGGCGGGCGGGAGGATGCCATCGGCTGCCCCGGAATCATCTGCGCCCTCAAACTGGGCCCGGCCTGACGCTCCTCTTGTTGCCCAGGGCCCGGGACTGCAGGCCACTCACAACCCCGCCTCGGGGCAGGGGCGGGCGGGCAGGGGCACAGAGCTCCCTGCCAGGCAGGGCAGGGCAGGCCTCCTCCCTCGGCCGAGCTACGTCTGCTTGATTTCCTGAGCCTCCGTGTCGTCACCTTTAAATGGGCGTATGAAAGCCCCCCCCCATACGTGGGAAAGCCCCTCCGTGGGATTCCCGCACAGGGGAGGTGGCTGGGGGTCTCCAGGCCACAGCCCACCTGGTAGGTCTCGATGGGCCTCGCCTCCATGTTCAGGTCCCAGACCTTGACGGTGAGATAGTCGCGGGTGAGCATGTACCGGCCACTGTGGCTGAACTTCACGTCGGACACAGAGGAGATGATTTCGGAGAAGAAGGAGCGGTTGCTGGGGTCCTCGGGTTCCTCGAAGACTGCGGAGCAAAAGGAGGCGCCCGTCACCGCC